ATAACAAGTGTATATGGTGTCAATAGAATAATACATAGCAACATGTGACCTTCAACTTTTTGCTCAAGACCTTCCTTTGGAGTCAAGAATCCTCCGGAGCCTTTTGGGAATAGGAAACAAGATTGCACATATTTTCACTGCCCTTCACTGCAGGTATTTCACTGCTCTTCCTCCAGCTTCTAAAAAGACTCCATGTTTTATTTCGTTTGATCTGGAACAGAAAGATGACAATTATAACCCATGACAGGACTAGTTGATCACGAGTCTCACCGGTACTCTAATTTTGTTAACTAGGTCAGTCAAAAAAGACTTATCAGGAGCCATATGCCGTATGGCTTATGCAGGAGGCTGATGTTTCACTATTTAACCCTGAGAGTGACCAGCATCTAAGTTCTCCCAACTTTATGACCCCTGCATCACACAGCAAGGTCATGAGAATAAAGGAAATGATCACCAACTAAATATTCTCTAGATTGATAGACAAATTCTCCTTGTCAGCACCGTAGGAATTGTATAGAAAACAGTATGGAGAGTGGGCATGCTGATGTTAAGGTGAAAAGGGATAAGCGCTGCTGGGTTTAACCTGACTAGGAAGAGTGTAAGGCGACCATTGGAGGCGTCACTTAAAAAAAATATTTGAATCATCAGAACACAAGAAAAAAGAACTCTCTACGGTAACAGTTTGTTTGTTAAAAGTTAGTATTGTGAGATTAAAAGCTTGACCAAACCTTAGTGGATTTCTTCGGCGACACCCCATCTGTATTTGCTGATGGTAACTAAAAGAAAAAAAATTCAAAATCATCTAAAGACGTTTACCTCAAGGTAATTCATTGAAAACTTGAATCTCAAGGGTTCTTTTTCTTTAAACCTGTCCAGCCCTCCCATCAAACCCGTTTCACAACAGTTTACTTCACATCCTACAATTTCCTTCAAAAGAAAGGCGGCCATCAAGATGTAAAAATAAGTTCTAGAGAAGAACACAATGTGCATAGATATAAACCTTTGCTAAAAAACATTTAGAACTTTCATATTCTCTTAAAATTTACCTGCACTGGAATAGATGGCGCTGACTTTCGCCTCTCTGATGTTGAATATTGAGATATCCTCTGTTCTTCCTCAGCCTACAATCAAAACAAAAATAAGAGTAATTTACTTCCAATAAGTGATGGAATAATACCCAAGAGTAAGAAAAGATCAATTCAATACTCTTAATCCTCACACCCACATCTCACTCCTGACCGTCTGTACCAGTTTTTCTTCTTTTTGTAGGTTTATTGGAATGGTTCGAAAATACTTCAAATTTCACCGTTGGATATCTAGCTATGAGATTTTCCGCTTTTTCCATAGCACAAGCCAGCAGTTTTCGGTTTTTCTGCCTGTTACCACACTAAATTTGACATGGCATGGCATGGCAAAAAAATGGCTTTTAGCCAAAGGCATACAAAAAAAATACAAAAATATCATCGCGCATGCAGGTAAATTTACATACAGTGGAGAATAGCTGCGTCCGCGTTGTTTCTAACTGTTCAACCTGTTTTTCTCCTCCTCTTTGGTCTGCCAGCAGAATTTGAAGCCTCTCATTTTCTTCCTTTGTGAAGTTCGTGTCCACTGACTTTAGGTCGGCAACACGAACGTTCAGATCACTATGTGCAGCTTTTAAGTTGTAAAAGGTAAAATCATAGAACTGTCTCCTGACGAACTCTTTAAATGCACAAGCTTGATCCGTCATTCTTGTTACTTTAGTGTACACTCCCTCCAATGTTCTGCTGTGTCTGCCGATGAACTCCGACTTTCTTTGCATTGTGAAGGTTTCTCCTTTTAATTCAGGCACTTCTAAACTGGATTTTATGTCTGCAAGCGTTTTTTGAAGTTTTTCTATGCTTTCGGAAATTTGGTTAACTGTACAGGTAAGATCTTCAACCACGACTTGTTCTGTTTGCTTGGGTGTATTTCCTGCAAACTGGTCGGTAGTATTCATATAGTCTTTGATTTCCTGAAAGGACAATTAAAAGTCGTATGCATAAACATCATACATTCATTCAAAATCTCTACGCGTAATTCACATCAAGAAAAATACTGCTTAAAATTTCAACTTTGTGCGAAGCAAACTCGCGTAACTCTCTCAAAAGATTGCCGGGCCATTACAAAATCAATGGAAGACAACTTACAAATTCAAGTTTAGCGGTAATGGCATTTTAAATTCTCGTTATCATTACCCATCTCTTGCAGAAAATAATAAACTGGAAATAAATTAAAGTGAACGTTTAATTCTGATCTAAGATGATTAAGGTGCAGTTTTGCCTCGACTTACTTTATATTGTTTCAGAAAGTAATACCATAATAAGTTCTAAAGGAGAACACAATGTGCATGGATATAAACCTTTGCTAAAAAACATTTAGAACTTTCATATTCGTCTAAATTTACCTGCACTGGAATAGATGGCGCTGACTTTCGTCTCTCTGGTGTTGAGTATTGAGATATCCTCTGTTCTTCCTCAGCCTGTAATCAAAACAAAAATAAGAGCAGTTTAGCTCTATAAATGGTGGATTATTACCCAAGTGTAAGTAAAAATTTCCTCCATGCTCTTAATTCTCGCATCCACATCTCACTCGAGCCTGTTTGTATCATTTTTTCCTCTTTTAGTAAGGTCATTGGAGTGGTCTGAAGTTACTTCACATTTCACAACGTTGGATAGCTGACAAAGACGTTTTGTGCTTCTCTCATAACACAAGCCAGCAAGATTCTACATGTGCGCTTAAAATAGCTTGGATATTTCTGACCGTAACCGCACTAAAAAAAAATTAACATGGTATGGAGAAAGAATGGCTCTTAGCCAAAAGCATACAAAAAGAATTACAAAAACAACATCAAGCATGCAGGTAATTTTACATACGCAGAAGAATAGCTGCACCCGCGTTGCTTCCAACTGCTCAACCTGTTTTTCTCTTCCTCTTTGGTCTGCCAGCAGAATTTGAAGCTTCTCATTTTCTTCCTTTGTGAGCTTTGTGTCTGCTGACTTCAGGTCGGCGACACGAGCGTTCAGATCATCATGTACGGCTTTTAAGTTGCAAAAGGTAAAATCATAGAACTGTCTCCTAACGAACTTGTCACATGCACAAGCTTGGCCTGTCATTCTTGTTACTTTAGTGTACACTTCCTCCAATGTTCTGCTCTGTTTGCCGATGAACTCCAACTTTCCTTGCATTGTGAAGGTTTCACCTTTTAATTCAGGCATGTCCAAACTGGATTTTATGTCTGAAA